TCTCAAGCTTGAAGTAGGTCATGTGTTGTTTTACTCTGTCCCTCTTGCTTTCATTTGGCCTTGTGAGTAAAGACTTCAAATGTTAATGAATTTCTGGGATGAGGAGTTATCATTATTTATATTCAGACTAATATCCTCATCTTAGTTGTTATTATCACCTGATCACCTTCTGTCTGAATTCCTGGGATGAGGAGTTTCCATTACTTCTATTATATACATTCAGACTAATGTCTTCATCTTTTTTATAATTATAATGTTTGAGCCATTTTTGTATCCTTCAGCCTTCTTCAGGGAATTTCAAACTAAACTCTCCATTTAATCTATGCTGGTAGGTTGTTTTCATTCCACAGTCCATGTTTAGGTATATCTCATCTTATTCTCTTTTAGTACTACTCAATTATTGCTTGACCTGTTTCCTACCACTTGACTGATTGGTTTGTTTTTTTATGGCTTATCAACACTCTTGTAGGTTATTTAAAGCTGAAACATTTTGGATTGTACTTTTTTTTTTTTTTGCGAGTGAATATTGCATTAACAATTTCTTTTTGGAGATAATGATTTTTCCACATATAAGTCCTACTATTTAACCCATAGATGTGTAGAGAAAATATCTTCATAGCTTTCACAAAGGCATTTGCAGGTAAATGAATATAATGAATGTGACTGGAATTTGAACTTAGCTGTCTGATTTTTCATTCTGAGCCGCTATTCATTACACCAATACATCGACTGATTGATTTGTTTTTTTAATGGCATATGGATCATTTAATGCCAAAATTTAATTTTCTTGGGAGCTTGGAAGTAATCATGTGTTATTCTGCTTTCACAATTGAATACATGCTAGTGATACTCAGCTCATCTGCAGTCGCTCTCTCACAGACGTGCCGTCACCTCCCTCTGTCTTTTTTTTTTACAAATACTTTCATGGTAACTGCTCCGAAGAGCTGCTTTCGATGGTTCCCAGACTTCATGAATTTAAGCGTTCAACTAGGCTGGCATCTTGCTCTCACCCTTTAACTGTCAAAACTGTTAAATGTAGCCATCTCTTCTACTCCAATAGTGTCATGTCTCGCACTTCTCACCTGTGGAACTCCCTCCCTTTTCCTGTTACCCTGATAGCTATAATTTCCAACTATTCAAATGTAATGTCAATCGACGTCTCCAGATGCCTTGATCTATCCCCTATCCTTCTCTTCATCCTTTCCTCTATCACTCTTCTTTGCTCTTTCTCCAACTCTCCGTAACCCCTTGTGTGCTAGTGGCTTCCTGACTTGCTTGGAAGAGAAAAAAAAAAGAAAAAAATATATATATATATATATATATATATATATATATATATATATATATATTGGTTGGTTGATTTTGTTTAGTAGCATATCAACCTCTAAAGGCTATTTAATGCCAAAATCTAAATACTTTGTACATAATTTTATACTCTGAAGGTAACAGGTATGTTTTTTAGAAGTATAATAAAGGGAGATAACTGATACTGAGACATCCACAAGAGGCATGGCATGTGGAACTATAACAATATATTCCAGTGGACAAAATAAGAGGTTCAGTTTAAAATATCAATCACCTGAAAAAAGCCGAAGTGTACAATTGCCGAAACGTTGTAAATATAGCAACAAAGATAAGGACAACAGTCTGAACAATGTAAAAAGTGCAAACAACAGTTTCTTTTCTCGCACTTCTCACTTGTGGAACTCTCTCCCGGCTTCTTGCTTCCCAGTCAGCTTTGATCTTCAAAAATTTAAATGCAATGTCAATTGTTATCTTCTTTCTTCTTAATTACTGTTCTTTTATTGTCCTCTCTCCTTAATGTTTGCTTTTTCTCACATTCTTCCACAATCACTTGCGTCTTAGTGGTTTTATTGCCTTGGTTGGGGTGAAATATCATTTTAAGCATTTATTCAAAATATCTACAAGCTTATATACAAAGTTCTACTCAAACATTCAAAGAACAGCCATAAGAAAAGAAAAAAAAACATCCTATTAGTTTCTACTTTTTCCATTGAAATAGTCCAGAACAAAAGCTTGTGCTACATTTGGATCATGTATACTGTTGGGGGATGTAAGCATAGCAGATTGATTGTCAGTGTTGAAAGTGGAATGAGCAAACCAAGTTCAATTTCTGTCAGAGCATGTTGCATTCACTTTCACACTTATCCCCTGGTAAAATACATGAATCCATTTCTTTCTCCTCCAGATATGGGTTAAACAACAAGGTAGACTAGGCTCTAGCCTTGGATGACAACCAGTATAGGACAAAGCACAGCATAAGTATTAAAAAGAAAATCAATCTGGAAAAAGCCAATTTCCTGAAGGGACAGCACTTCTTTAAGAAATGAGTTAAATAGCGAAGCAGACTCAGCCTTCTAACCTTGAGTGACAACCTGTCTAAGAGAAGGATTTCTTTTAATTCCAAAATGTGGAGAAGGTAAAGTCATTGCAATTGTCTGATATTAAAAAAATAATGTGTGAAGAAGTCATGACTGCCTATATCCTGAAAGGAAATGCATTTGAATAAAAGCAAAATACTGTTTAAATTCCCTGTGATTTTGGGAAGCACCTTGTGTGTGGTAGTGAGGTATATGAGGGAGAGAGAGAAGTGTGTAAGATAAGTGGGAAGAAAAAGAGCAGTGAAAGGAAAATAAAACAAAATGTAAAAGGAAAAGTCCACCCAGAAAAGTGACTCCATCATTTTTTTTTTTTTTTTTTTTAAGAAAAACGATTTTGGACAAAGTCAATAAAAGAAAAAAAAAAACAACTAAATCTCCACTTTTGGTTTGATGCAAAATATGACAGGTGAATACTGGCTAAAAATGGACAGTGGCCTGAGAAAATAGCGCCAATGGGACAGCTGACACAGACAGAAGAGAGAGAGAGAGATGACACAGAAAAAGAGAAACACACAGCAAGAGAAAGAGACATGCAGGCACTGAGAAAAACAAGACACACACATGCACAAATAAAAGACACACACACAGATGAATAAATAACAGTTTGGTGTGATGGGGAGAAAGCTAAAAGCTGACAGAAGGAAATGAATGTCAAGTCAAAGAAATTGTTGGAAATTTTACCGAGAGAGAGAGAAAAAAAAATGGAAGGAATAACAGTGAATCAAAGAAGAAAGCAGACTTCTGAAGGAGAAATACAAGCAAGGATGAAGGAATAAAGGAAAGATGGGGAAGAAAAGAAATTCAAAAGGTTAGAAAGTGTAAAAAGGAGGAGAAAAGAAGTAAAAATTTAAGGTAAGTGAAGCAGCAAAAAATATAAGCAAAAAGATGCTGGTTATTAAACAGAAAGCAGCAAAGGAGGCGAAGCGTGAAGAGCAGTAGAGGCAACAAAGAGGGATCAAACATGGAGAGAAGCAGAGGCAAGAAAAAGTGGGGGGGCAACCATGAAGAACAGCAGAGGCAAGAGAAAGGGGGCCAAGCATGAAGAGAAGCAGAGGCAACAACGAGGGGTCAAACATGAAGAGAAGAGCTAAGAAAGAGGGGAGGTAAGCATGAAGAACGGCAGAGGCAAGAAAGGGGGCAGAGTAAAGTAGCAGAGGCAAGAAAGGGGGCAGAGTAAAGTAGCAGAGGCAAGAAAGGGGGCAGAGTAAAGTAGCAGAGGCAAGAAAGGGGGCAGAGTAAAGCAGGCAGAGGCAAGAAAAGGGGGGGAGTAAAGTAGCAGAGGCAAGAAAGGGGGGGCAGAGAAAGTAGCAGAGGCAAGAAAGGGGGCAGAGTAAAGTAGCAGAGGCAAGAAAGGGGGCAGAGTAAAGTAGCAGAGGCAAGAAAGGTTGGGGTCAAGCTCGCAAGAATGAAGAACAGCAGAGGCAAGAAAGGTGGGGGTCAAAAATGAAGAACGGCAGAGGCAAGAAAGGTGGGGGTCAAAAATGAAGAACGGCAGAGGCAAGAAAGGTGGGGGTCTAAAATGAAGAACGGCAGAGGCAAGAAAGGTGGGGGTCAAAAATGAAGAACGGCAGAGGCAAGAAAGGTGGGGGGGTCAAAAATGAAGAACAGCAGAGGCAAGAAAGGTGGGGGTCAAAAAATGAAGAACGGCAGAGGCAAGAAAGGTGGGGGGTCAAAAAAGAACTGAAGAACGGCAGAGAACAAGAAAGGTGGGGGTCAAAAAATGAAGAACAGCAGAGGCAAGAAAGGTGGGGGTCAAAAAATGAAGAACGGCAGAGGCAAGAAAGGTGGGGGTCAAAAAATGAAGAACAGCAGAGGCAAGAAAGGTGGGGGTCAAAAATGAAGAACAGCAGAGGCAAGAAAGGTGGGGGTCAAAAATGAAGAACGGCAGAGGCAAGAAAGGTGGGGTCAAAAATGAAGAACAGCAGAGGCAAGAAAGGTGGGGTCAAAAATGAAGAACAGCAGAGGCAAGAAAAAGGTGGGGTCAAAAAATGAAGAACGGCAGAGGCAAGAAAGGTGGGGGTCAAAAATGAAGAACGGCAGCAGAGGCAAGAAAGGTGGGGGTCAAAAATGAAGAACGGCAGAGGGCAAGAAAGGTGGGGGGTCAAAAATGAAGAACGGGTGGGGGGGTCAGAGGCAAGAAAAGGTGGGGTCAAAAATGAAGAAAACGGCAGAGGCAAGAAAGGTGGGGTTCAAAAATGAAGAACGGCAGAGGCAAGAAAGGTGGGGGTCAAAAATGAAGAACAGCAGAGGCAAGAAAGGTGGGGGGAGGCAAAAATGAAGAAAAAATAAGAAGAACAGCAGAGCAAGAAAGGTGGGGGTCAAAAATGAAGAACAGCAGAGGCAAGAAAAGGGGGGGGTCAAAAATGAAGAACGGCAGAGGCAAGAAAGGTGGGGGTCAAAAATGAAGAACGGCAGAGGCAAGAAAGGTGGGGGTCAAAAAATGAAGAACGGCAGAGGGCAAGAAAAGGTGGGGGTCAAAAATGAAGAACGGCAGAGGCAAGAAAGGTGGGGGTCAAAAATGAAGAACGGCAGAGGCAAGAAAAGGTGGGGGTCAAAAATGAAGAAAAACGGCAGAGGCAAGAAAGGGTCTATGTAGATCTGCAGAGGCAAGAAAGGAGTCGAAAGGTGAAGAGCAGCAGAGGCAAGAAAGGGAGGGGGTTAAGCGTGAAGAGCAGCAGAGGCAAGAAAGGGGGCCAACGGGGAAGAGTAGTAGTAGCAAAGACTGGACCAAGGGAGAGCAGCAGAGGTAAAGATTGGGTCATGGTGCAGAAGAGCAGAAGCTTAAAAGTGGCCAAGGGAAACAGCAAAGACAATTTTGAGGCCAGTGGGGACCAAAAAAGAAGTTTGGAACCAAAAGAAACACAGAAAAAAATTAGGAGTATCACATGTTTCATCCCTTAGGACTTCATCAAACTAGATTCGTAGATGTTGATGTGATTACACGTGCACGAACAAGAGACACTGTGAATTTTTAAATTTAGAAAAAATATTTTTTTTTTATTTTGTGTGTGTTTTGGGTTTATAATCTAGCCAATTTCATTTAGATTCTTCTTCTTTTTCTTTCCATCATTCTTTGTTATTAAATATCCCACATTGTGATAACAGAAGATATACAAACCTAATAAGACAAATAACACAATACTAAAAGAGATTATGTTAATTTTTTTTCTCTCAGTTCAGTATTTCAAGGACACATTTTTGTAATGACAACATTAAATAGTTTAACAAACAGAGACTTTAGTAAACCGATATATTCATAATCTTTTTACTGACATCACAAGTGGCTCTGAAAAGATTTGTAGACATTAAAGGGTGTCTGAAAAAGCTGGCAAATGCTTCTAAGTGAAAGATGATTATGTAATGTTATGAAAGTGCACAGCCAATCAAACATCACAGGAAGATAGTCAAGAGGTACTTCACCAAACAATACAGGGTGTCAATAGTCACCATTTAACACCCCTTTGAATATTCCTTTCCAGGCAAGATACAAGACATGTGCTGCACAAAGTCCTAAGTAAGCAATCTCACATCAAAGTCACCAAAGAAAAACAAGCACAATTAAATACATTATTATACATGAGGCACTTCAGATAAGCTCAGGCAATCTGAACATACATACATGCATACATACATACACACACATCTTATTTATTATAAAACACAGTGTGTGTGTGTGTGTGTGTGTGTGTGTGTGTGTGTGTGTGTCTGTATGTTTATATATTGGATTTCCTACATTTTTCAACCGATTTTAACAAAACTTCACAGGACTATGTAAAATTACCTTGCGGTGGTTCTGACAGCGCCAAAAATTGGAAAAACACAATTGTTTTTGCACAAAATCAATTTGAAAATACGATTAAGAAGCATCACTCACCAGAATGAAAGGGGGACAACTCATATCAAGTTATACTTATAAAACCCAGGTTGTTTGTGTGTGTGTGTGTTCATTTATATTTGTGATCGGATTTCCTACATTTTTCAACCGATTTCAACAAAACTTCACTTTTTTTGGCAGGTAGTGTTTCTTATTGTCTTGCACACTTTTTCTTTATTTTTACATTCAGAATGCTTTAAAAATTCCATCTACAAGACAATTGTTTATAATAAAATTCTATTCAATTGATAGACTCATAACGATTTAAAACAATGTTTTTGTTTGAGTTTGGGTTTGACCAATTCGTTAAAAAAAAAAAAAAAAAAATAAAATAGTTAAGACATGCATATCCATCAACCTTAAACAATAAACTTTGTCAATTTTATTTTTCAGTCTTTATGATGGTCAATACTTGATCTATCTCTTACTGTTACATCTCCGGGCAACACGGGCTCTACTGCTAGTATATATATATATATATATATATATATATATATATATATATATATATATATATATATATATATGAAAACTGGAAAGGTTTTTGTAACATTTCATCCATTTTGGATTTCATTGGACTGGGCTTTGTTGACATTGCCACGTCTACAAATGTACATGAAACGAGAGACACAGATAGTTTCAAAATTTTTGAAAGAATATTTTGGAGAAAATATTTTTTCTTAATCTAACCAAAATCATCTGTATTCTTTTTCTCTCCATCACCTTTGTCTCCAACTATCCAACCCTGACAATATAAAAATCTACCAAAAATGATGAAATATTTAAGAGCCTGAATGCAAGTTTATTGTGGCTGAAATAGCAATCAAGACATTTTCAGACATTATCATCTTGGTGGATTATTTTCTCTTTTAATCAACGTAGCATTCCCTATATCAAAATTGTGGTTTATTTTGTTACGGTGAACAACCAATGTGTTTTGCGTGTTGCTATTTAAAATTTCCCTTTTGTGTTCATATAGTCTTTCATTTAAACTTCTTGAGGTTTCTCCAATGTATTAATTCTGGCAGTTCCTGCCTTTTTACAGAGTAAATTCTTCCTTCAAATTTTGGCTGGTTGTTTTGTTTTTTTTATTGAGTAAGTCTTTGATTGTTTTAGATGTAGTTGTGACAAATTGTATGTTGAGTTTAGATAAATTCTTTTTGATTCTAGTTGTGATAGACAAACCTAACAAATCAAACAAATATATTATTCTATCCACTATCACACCAGCAACAAAGCACAGTTCGATGAAATATGTCACAAAAATCCTTTCCAGTTTGTCATATTTTTCTAAATACTGCTTGTTGATAGATATATATTTCACACACACAAGGGGTGTAGCAGAAATACCTCAAACACAATGGTAAGACATTAGCTCAATGAAGACACCATTGCAATTGAAGTCTTCCAATAATATGAGAGGTATTTCTGCTGGATCCTGTATTAAGAGAAATGCGATCAGTGCATTCTCTGATAAGAAACAGACATAAATACATATATTCTTATATGCAGATACACCAGGGCATTAGTGGGTTAATACAGGGTGTGGCAGAAATACCTCCCACATAAGACATTAGCTAGATAAAGATACCATTGTCACTAATGTCTTATTATGTGGGAGTTATTCCTACTGTATCCTCTGTGTGTGTATGTGTGTCTATATAACATAATTATAATATATCGCACATACACTGCTGGTAGTAATAAAATAGTGCTCAATGTAATATAACAGAGCTATTAAGTATATATTAATACATATAGATATTATCCATCACCACTAACACAACTTTGAGTTTCATGCACAATGCAATCTTCAAGTGCTGAGTATAGGCAGACTTATGTAATTTGAGTTTTGATATATTTGGTTATCACAACACTGGTGCAGGATTAGTTCTAAAATTAAAAAAATTATATTTGGCAATTAAACAGGATTTATGTAAGTATTTAAAAAATAAAATTTAAATTTAATTTTTTTTTATGTTTCAGGTGTGGATATTCATTTTTTAATTTTTTTAATTTTTCACTTAAAGGGAGATTACTTATTTCATTTAATCTTTTTTAAAAAACAATTTATATTCAAAATAAATAATAATTTACATTAAAAATTTAAACTAATCTGAATCACCATATTTAAGCAGATATTTATTTTTATGCCTACATGTAACCATTAATTCATTTCATTGTTCAGATTATTTAAGTGTTTTCACACAACCAGTTTTTCAACAAGACATAAGTTAAATTTATTTTCGTTTCCATTTTTGACTCTTGCTAGAATATTCAATTAATAGAAGGGGAACTACCATTATTTTTTTAATTGCCAGTAATATCTAGAGAGAACTGTGCAATTTATGTATTTTATATTAACTTAAGTTATTTCCAAAGATTTTCAGTGGAGCCAGAATAAAATTTAACATTGTTACTGGAATGGACACACGTGCCTCCAAGGACTGCAGGTGTTTTGCAAACTTTTAAGCAGATGGAACATATGGCTAAGCCATTTTGATCAAGTGATTGAGGATCATTTGCCACATGTTTCTGTGAGTAGATAGCAAGGCCTGCTTTACTGTGTGTGACAAAGCCACGGTATCAGGTTGTTATATAGGAATAAAGTGCCGCTGCCAACACTTGAGTTTGAACACAGATTGCCAGTGAGCTAACATTGGTGATCACATTATTAAATTAAGTGGATCATGTAACCATAGAGAAATGTATATATAGGAAGTTGTGTGACATCCAGATTGATCTTCATTTCTAGTCTATCCTCTATTACTATACGGATCACCATTTCTAGTTTATACTAATTCTCTATTTGGATCACTATACAGATTACTGCTCGAGCGAGTACTATCAAGCAAGTGCTATTAGTGTCAGTGATATTCGAAGGCGTCTGACACTAGCATTGTTCAACGGCATACTATAGTTGTATCTGTGATTACAAAGTCTATTACAACAAGCATTACAAAACTAACAATGAGTATTCGTTTGCATCACAAAAGTGTCAAACGAGTGTTCGTTGACATCACAAAACAGTTAAGGCTATCATTGCGAGGAGCAGCATGCTATCCACTTTCTTTAAAATTTGCATACAGCTGATGTGTGTACTGTATATGAGAGAGAAAGAGAATTAATTTAAACATAAGTTTGTCACTTAACAGACCCTCCAGCAATCACTTTGTCCACTCATCAGGGGATACCAGCAATTGGCTGTTTATATTTTTCATTTTATATATGCACTTTTCATTGATGCAAGGTTGAATTTTTTTTTGTAGTGTGTGCTTATATGCCCACCTGTGCATATGTATGTGTATGTAGATATAAAAATAACATCTGTCTATATTTCTGAGATAAGCTCTTATAACTATTTACACTATTTACACTGTTCAGACTTATCCTTAGCTTTACTGTAGCATTCACAACATATCAGCCGTTGTGCACTCCAACCTTCTTCAGCTGATATATGTTGGAATTTCAAACTGAGACCTTTATTTAGTTCATTAGGCTAGATTGTTCCAATTCTATGTACCATGCCTTTGGATATCTCCAAGGGAATATGGTCCAGTGGATAAAAAGCATTGGTTGATTGATTTAAAAAGTGACTTGACCTGAAGAGTTGTGAGTTCAATCCCTGGCCTCAGTAGAGAAAACAAAAACTTGGAGAGTTATCAAGGTGAATTAACTAAAACAGAGATATACAAAGGCAAGGTATGCGAAATTAGAACAATCT